ACTAGTTTATAGCAACATAGCAAATGCATGTCGTAATTGCATTGTTAGAAACACTCATCTAATAGACCAAACGGTAATATAACAATTTACTGTTAAAATATAGCTTTGCTAAGTTATCCAAGCTTGCGTATAAATGTTACGTTTTACGCATTATCATATTTAGAATATGTGATTAGGAAAAAATTGTTTCATTCCAACATAGAGCCAGTTTTAATTTTGAATTTACAGGGGAAATATTAGAGCGTATGTTTTAATTTCAGGGAACGATATACGGTGACAACGCAGCAAGTTGATACAGACTCAACGGACACCCAGCCAAACACAACACAAGGCACCATCCGCACCGAGCAATATAAACGGGATTTAGCAGAGTTCCAAGCTAGAAGGTCACTCGGTAAAGAAGAACCACAGATAACACCTATCAGACGGAAATGTGGACGACATTCCCTCCCCGCCTCTTGCACAAATTGCGTCGGAGGAGATCCAGACACAACGTTTAATTACGAAAAGAATTCCCCAGCTAAATACAAGAAACGCAACGCTAGACGATCTAGCCTCGACGACAAACTACCTAATATACAGTTCCTCTTCCAAAATCAGGTTTTCATGCCTGGTAATATGTACACAGGTTCGTTCTCGGAGTCGGCGAAAGCCCGCTATCAAAGGAGACCTCAAAGGTCAGATATGGATTCCATACAAAGGCAGATAGATTTCAAGGATGAAGAATTGAAATCGCCTTTATTCCTTAAGAATAACTCTTTGCCGTGTGATGTTCAGAAGTTTATCGAAGGTTCGAGAAAAATCGACGAGATTGATGGAATGTCGTCGAGTCACAATTCTGTTAGGGAATTGAATAATGATAATAGTTATGATGACAAGATGTGGGAGGTGATGAACGAGTTGAAGAACTTCGATCAATGGGCTGACAACCAGCTGCAAGGGCAGTCGGCTAACACTACCAAGTCTGATGATTCTAAAGTAAGTAATTCATCATCTTCCTCCTTTTCCTGCTCCCATAGGGTCGGCGCAACAGTTTTTTTGTCCTCCACATAACTATCATACCTCTCAGTCATCACTCCCTTGATCATGTCACCTTTTACAATCCATCCATCTCTTTCTATGTCTACCTCTACCAGTGTACCACATTCCAAACTTACGTTCTCCTTGTTACATGCGATCCTTAATTATTTATAATACAAATTTTTAAAGGAAATAATCAGAAATATATAGACTTGTAGTAAGCACTTATTTTATGATCTACATAGAAAGTATCGTTTTGATGAAGAAAGTATGAATAGTAAGAAATGGAAACTTGAAATAAAATTCAGGTCAAGGTCTTTTCATTGGTTTTTTCTCCAATAGTGATAATGAATATGTAGAAGTATCACGTTACTCGAATGTCCTAGAACAGTGGAGTACACTTGACCTCCGCACGTTGAAAGTAAAAGCGTTATCTACACTCTAATAACATTATATACTGAGAATTACATGTATCAATTACACATACAGTTACACAGAAAACTAATCTGTTACAGTTTTTTTTTTATTTGAACTAATAACTTGTCATTTACAACTGTGTGAATATCATATTAAATTAGTACCCATTTGTTTGGTAAATGGAGTAGGTAACGTAAATGGCAGTCAATTTCCATTAAACAAATTGTGATATGAATTTTTTATTAACAAACTTATTTTTTTTTTTACTTTCTACAAAATAACCAGGATCAATTCTCTTGTTACGAACTATCCACACAAACAACTGAATACGTCACTAAACCCGAAAATGCCGTAAACTGGAAGACTTCGGGAGAAAACCCGAAAGTGTCAGCCCTAATCATAACTAGGAGCATTGATAACTTACCACTAATAATTATTCAACACTAACTTTCGCCGGCGACTCCGTCCGCGTGGAATAAAAAAAAACAAAAGTCAGTTGGCCTATGTGGTCTTCCAGTTTATCCTCTACATGTATATCAAATTTCATCGAAATCCTTTCATCCATTTAGGCTAAAAACTCTAACAAACATCCATCTAAACTTTTGCATTAATAATATTAGTATGATTTTTTTTTATGTACAATTTGTAGAGTGACGTGAGTGCTTACGGCTTAGCTGTGACAAGTTCTACCAACATGAGCGTTACGTTGGACAAGACTAGAGCATGGAACACGGGCAAATGGGGTCTGGTGCCCGTGCAAATAAAGAAACTGCACGGCGTCACCATCGACCATGTGAAGAAGAAACAAAACACCGAAATTAATATACTAAGGTATGGAATGTACTGTAACATACCGTTTGGGTCTTAAGCCTTGTATTGTTTCAATATTTTTGCTAACTTAAAGTAAGGTGTCTCTTCTCAAACCGCATACCTTAACGGAAACTTCGTGGTGTGTTTCGAAACGCCAAATTGTGTGTTATCTTCTTACTAATATTATAACTGCTTAAGTTTAGATGGATGGATGGATAAATGTTTGTTAGAGTTTGCAGCCTAAACAGCTGAACGGATCTCCGTGGAATTTGGCATAGATGTAGAGGATAGTCTAGAAGAGCACATAGACGCGACGAACACGACGAGACGCGGGGAACACTATAAAAATACTGAAAATTTATGCTTATTTATGTTTGGCCTTATATTTTTAACGATATAAAATGGTCGCTTAATATCTCTACAGGCTTTTCAGGGTCTTGGTCAAGAAACTTCTTCTCCCTCAGTCTTTTTGTGGCCATTTATTTCGCTTGCTATATCTCTCGTGTATAATAAAACATGTAATTGTTTATTTGTAGAAAATATCGACACCCGAACATAATACTGCTAATGGGACTGTATTCGGATATTCATAACAATGTCAACATAATCTGCGAGAGATGTATGGACTCGCTGTATGGGATACTGCATGTACAGGTAAATGACGTCACCAAGGGTCTAAGCAAAGGGATTAAAAATATATATAGAGTGGACACTTCACTCGAGACATTTTTCATATGATTTATTAAGCTAAATAAATAATAAATAATTGTATTTAAATGAATTTCCAATTAATGTCACTAAATCATGTTTAAATGTTTATACTTTATTTTGTGCCTGTCTAAACAGTTTATTTTATAGCAAAAGATTGAAGCTTATTATAATTTTGTAAAATGTTTTGTAACATGTCAATACAAGGACATGAGGTGTCACTAAATTTGACATCTAATATTAGTACCTTTCAAAGAAGTTACCGGTGAAAAAATGTGCACTAAGCCTATATATTTTTTAATGTCTCTGGATCTAAGTAACCATTTAAAATTTTTACTTTCCAGGGTCGTATTCTAAGTGCACAGACGTCAGTGCAATATGCATTAGATATCGCAAATGCTCTCCTGTTCCTTCGTATGCAGGGTTATGTGCATTCACGTCTGTCCAGTGCGAGTGTACTTGTGACGTCACAAGGCACAGCCAAACTGGCTGACGTCGCCCCGTGTATTCGATTGAGTAACAAAAAGAGGGAAATCAAAGAGTACGAGTTTACTCCTGAACCGCATTATGTTAATATACAAGGTTAGTAAAGTTAACTTGTCTTATAATAAAATATCTACTATCTATATGTATTATAAAAAGGAAAGATTCGTATTTTTGTATGTATTGAAAGCAGTCAAAAACTACTGGGCCGATTTCAATAATTCTTACACCATTAAAAAGCTACGTTATCAGTGAGTAACATAAGGCTATATTTTTTACAATTCTTATTTGACGCGGACGAAGTCGCGTTCAACAACTAGTCATTATCAAATTAAAACTATGTTTTATAAATAAATCTAGACATGTTATACTATTTTATAAAATACTAGCATTTTCGCTCGCGATTCCGTGCGAGCGGAATTAAAAAAAAAAACTTAGTAAGTAGCCTATGTGTACTAGACTAAGTTATAAATCTGAACCAAAATTAAAGATCCGTTCAGCTGTTTAGGCTACAAACTCTAACAAACATCAATCCATCTAAACTTTCGCATTTATTATATTAGCAATATTTTGTAATATCCTTATATGTAACTTAATTTTGTAGAAATTTTAAATTAAATTGAAACAGGGTAAAATATTTTTATACATACTTCTTCCTAATAATATAAATGTGTGTTTGTTAGAGTTTGTAGCCTAAATGTATAAATGTAGAGGATAGTCTGAACACACAGGCACATTTTTTTTAATTCCACGCGAACTGAGTCGCGAAAGCTAATTAAAACAGCGTATACAAACATTTCAGATACATCAGGATCGGCAGCGGATAGTGAGCCGTTACTACCTCAGAGTGAATCCGAGGTATACCTATCCTCTAACGCGGTGGCGCAGGAGTAC